TTTTTGGCTATTGCTACAAATATACCCCAGCGACTTAAGACTGGTTTTGTGGTCCAGGGTCACATATATTTAATACATTGATATATACAGTACCACTAAAACTATAGGGTCAGAAAGTTTTTGTATGTGTGTGTGTGTGTGTGTGTGTGTGTGTGTGTGTGTGTGTGTGTGTGAAAGAAATGCATACTTGGATTCAGAAAGGACATTAAATTTATTAAAAGTGCCAGTATAGACATTTACAATGTTATGAAATATTTAGTTAAGAAAATGCTTTTCTTTTGAACTTTATACCAATTAAAGAATCCTGAGAAACAAAAATGAAATGTTTCACCATTTCCACCAAAATATTAAGCTGTTTTCAACATTGATAATAAGAAGAAATGTTTCTTGAGCACCAAATCAGCATATTCATCCTTCAAACCCCACTGTCTTAGCAAAGCATATACAGGGGACTTGAGGTGCATCTTCTCTGGCTACCACAGCGCACTGATACAAAGAGGAAGAACCACAGAAGATGATTCATGCAGGGCTCATGAAAATTAAGCTTTGTCATCACAGGAATAAAATACATTAAAATATAAAATATAAAACAGTTATTTTGAATTGTAAAAATATTTCACAATATTATTGTTTTACTGCATTTTTGATCAAATAAATGGGAAGAACCACAGAAGATGATTCATGCAGCCTCTTTTAAGATGTTGCTTTTATCAACATATAACACAATTCTTTTTTTTTCCAGAAAGCAGACTCATACCTTCATATTTAGTCACTAAAATAAAATAATGCTATGCTGCCAAGAGGCGTGGCCTTCAAATAAACTCAGATGACATTCATTAATCTAGCATATCATGGTGTGAACATCAACTAAACAAAACACTGTTCAAGCAGATGACACATCCCTGAAGACCCTGTTTAGTTCTGCGACTGTGACACTCTCTGAAGTTAAGTGATGCATATGGTTTAGTCATTAGCCGAGACTGATTGCTAGGGGTCGGGTTTTTTTCTTTCTTTTTTTATTTTTTCAAACCGGGCGACTCGCATGAGTTCTCCATTCACTCTGTAACTGTCAGCCAGGCCCAGGGAATTGTGGGCCTATTATGTATGTAAATGGCCATCATAATGCAAAAAATTTAATTTAAGGCCTTTAATGAGTCTTCAGCAGGGCACACTCATGCTAAATGATAGCTATGTAATCCTAATTAAGAGAATTTGTCTTTAAAGCCTCACTAGCTTGGGCCTTGTCTATGATCTTGATCGCTTTTTGGGTGGGTGAGTCAAAACGAAGCCAGAAGAAAGGGGTGTGGAGACAGTGATGAGGCACTGAAGATTAGGTGTAACCTACTTTGTGACAAAAGTAAGAAACCAAAGTAGAAATGTGAGCTAATAGTCTAAAAGTTGCCATTACATCAGAAGTGCCAAACAGCTTCTAGGTGTTGGCCTAATAAATAAAGCTGCTCGGTCCTGGTAATATGAAAATGGCAAGGTTGATGAAAAAAGAAAAAAAAATGTAACCTCGGCTTCATATGTTTCATATGTTAATACCTAATTTCGGCCTGATATTCTCAGCGCTCACTCTTACCTGAACCATTCAGGTCTCCGTGGCACCAGACATGGGCTCCTGCCCCATCCTGGCTTTCATTTTCTTCATCCCCATGGCAGGAGATCAGGGCATGGGCCACCCGGGGTGAGGCCTCCAGACTCGGCACACCTGCTGGACTGCCTTCGCCCTCAGAACCCAGGAGTCTGTCCTCCTCATCGGACCCTGAACCGGCATCCACCACGTTTTCATAACTCAGCACTGAAGACAGAACAGAGTCCAGGTGTTATTATTGAGTTTAAGCTCATCTTAAGAGTTTGTGCAGTCTTGGTGGTCAGGCTATATAGCTACAATCTTGACCTGCTACCCCACTTCTTTACAAATGCAGTAAACATAGAGTAATAAAGTCAGAGCAGGCCAACTGAGGTTGCCAGTGAAAAAAAAAAAAAAGAAAAGAAAAGAAAATCTAGCAGATTGAGGCATTTGTGTAAAATGTATGAAGCCTGTGAAAAACAGGTGTTGTTAACCTTTTCTGAAGCAGTGATAATATAAATAACACACACACACACACACACACACACATATATTAGGGGTTGAACGACTTCTGATTTTTTAAAGTCGACTTTTATGTGATGAAAGTCGAGTCGAAATCAACTAGTCGCTGATGACGTCATTAATGAACAAATAAGTCTGGAGCTGTGACAAACACCTTGTGCACAGCTATAGCATTTGACACAGCGCTGCCCATATGGCTATTGTTCCTATAACAGCTCATTTTTATCAGTTCTTTTGTCTTTGGGTCGTTATATTTCTCACAGATTTCTGCTCGTTCTAAATCAGATACAGATAAAGTAGCACAGTAAAGATTACATTTGTATGAATGCATTAGTGAGAGCATTTGCGTGTCTGAATTAATTCTACCTGGCAGCGTCTCGCTACTAATAGTGAAGCTGAGGGATTTATTTAAGAAATATATGCTTGAGCTTTACAGTTTCTAAGCTATTTTATTGAGAAATCACAGAACAGTGTTGACAATACATTTCTGCGCTGAATGATTCTGTGCGCGCGCGATGTGTGCGTGATATACGAGTACTGTACTGTCTGTAGCCTATGTGTGTGCAATAGAGTGCAGCAGCACATTAGATTAGAACGGCGATTAACTTACCTGTACAATAAGCTGTTTAAAATGTGCATTCTCCCATTCATTTTCGAGCATCCAATAATATAATCATACGTCTTGTGGAGCGCTTTCAGAGTATGCATTTATTTGTTAACAAACACACACATAAATCATAAAAATATTACACACACACTCACATATATATATATAGTTCATTTGCAAAAACTGATAAACGAAACTTTAAAATAAAAATGAGCTGATTGCCGTGCATTATTCTCCACATATAGCGCGATCTGAACCCTAAACACGTTTTGTCAAAAAAGCCGGTTTTGTCCACTTTCAAGGCATCGCGAGTTCACGTTTTACTGCAGAAGCCGACAAGCGCCCTTGTTGTTTTTGAACAGAAGTCGATAAGTCCATTTTAGCGAATCAGCGCGCTGTATTCAGGTCAGGTGACAAGGCTACTTTCACTTTGAAAAGACGTGCTAGCTGAGAGGAGTTTCGTCAAAGCTGACTAAAAGTGATCGAGGATGGATAATTTCGATGAACTTGATTAACCTGTGATATCTTATTCAGGGCGAAAAAGGAAAATAAAAGCGGAAACGTTTTCACGGAACCTTGCAAAAGCAGCACGTTACAATGGTGAGCATGGCCGGACTTACCATTGGGCTTGAGGGCCTTGTAGGGGGACCCGCCTTTGCCCGTTTACGTTTGTTTGATTTGTTCATTATATGCCAGTCAGAATTCTGAAATTATTAGCCGCATTTACACTGCGCACGCAAGATCTAAACGGGCCAGCCGGGGCTACAGCTTTCAACTACGACCTTCGAGGCCACAATCAAACAACATAAACTGGTATTTATGATTATTTCACAAAGAAGAAGGACACACGTATTGAATTGCATCTGCACCGATTGGTTTGTTATCACATGGCTACTTTAAACAGCTCCATTAAGCCTTTAGCCCCAAAGAGCGCACATTTATAAAGATAATGATAAATTCTCAAATGTTCACACATTTATTTCTTTACAGAGGATGATTCTATATTACTATATTAATGTTCCACTATTAATATAGTGAGCGCTCTCTCTCGTCTTACAGCCATTACACATAGTGGGGAAGAAATGTCATCAAAATGATTTTAAATTAAAAATAGCAATTTAATTAGTTTTTATAACATAGCTATGTCTATGATATAGGACTTAGCCTATCACACAAACAAGAGTCCTGTTTTTTCCCGAATATCTGCACGATTGCAAATGTACAATAAACAACAACTTACAGAGTAACTTTCAGACACAAAATTCCGTTTT